AAGTGGCCAGTCCCCTTTTCCACATACCGTAAACTTGCTTCTTCCATTGGAGTTTTTCCACAAGCTCCTTGCTCATCCAGGCAGGTCTTCTGCCTCCTCTACTTGTGTTTTTTACTGATAGGAATGCACCGATGAGCTTGGAGGAAGTGGTGCTTGAATATTAACCAGCTTTTGGGCAGCCTCCTACCTTCTAGAGCCCTAACCCATGAGATTCCTCCAAGTAGGTCTTTGAAGAGGCCCAGTTTAGTTCTCCTGAAGTCCAGGGTTGCAATCCTACTTACTGGTCTACTCCTTCCTTGCATGGTCCTGAACTCTACTATGTCATGGTCACTGCAGCCAAGGCTGCCCTGAGGTCCACAGCCAGACCTTCTTTCTTCTTTAGTACAGGGTCCAGCAGCATGCTTCTCCTTGTTGGCTCCTCCAAGTCCTGTGTCAAAAAGTTATCATCATGGCTCTGCAGGAACCCCCGGACTCTGTGCAAGACCCTGCATTGTCTTTCCAGCAAATATCAGTGTGTTTGAAGTCCCCAGTGAGAACCAAGACATGTGATTATGAGGCTGCTTTCAGCTGACTGTGGAAGACTTAATTGACTTCCTCTTCCTGGTCAGGTGGCCCACAGCAAACAGCCACAACAGTGTCACCCTTATTAACCTGCCACTTTTTTCTTATAAGCTTTCAACATGTTCTTCATCCCCCTCTAGGCAGAGCTCGATACCTCCCAGTTGCTCGCTCACATCAAGAGCAACCCCACCACCTCGCCCTGCTGGTCTGACTTCTCTGAAAAGTACGTGGGCATCCCTGACAGCATTGCAGTCATGCAACCTGCCCCACCCTGCCTGACACCCACAGTGAGATCGTGGCCCTGCAGCCGCACCCAGATCTCTCGTTCTCCTGCTGTACTCCCCGTGCCGTGTGCCGTGCTGTACAGGCATTTCAGAGACTTGATCGAGCATAGTTTCCCTGGAAAGGTGCAAGAGAATCCAGCATAGTCACACACAGCCTTCAGGTGGTTTGCCTGGTGGTTCTCATCTTGGAAGGCAGCTAAGGAACTTTTCTGGTTTAAAGAATTTAAATTCCTATTATGGCAAGATCACCCACCTAGTTGACCAGGGGAATTCTGTAGATGGGGTGGTTTTGGACTTTAGCAAAGATCTTGATACTCTCTCTTGCAGTATCCTGCTGGACAGAATGTCCAGCACACAGCTAGACAAGTCCATAATATGTTGGGAGAGCAATTCACTGATGGGTTGCGCTCAAAGAGGTATAAGAAATGGGCTTATATTAGGCTGGTGGTCAGTGGGGTTCCTATGGCTCAGTTTTAGGGCCAGTGCTCTTTAATGTTTTTATAAATGGTCTGGAGGCAAGTACATTAAGTAAATTTGCCAGTGATATTAAACTAGGAGGAGCTGTGGACTCCCTTGAAGGTACAGAGGCTTTACAGAGAGATCTGGATAGACTAGAGAGCTGGACAGTCACCAGTCGTGTGAAATTTAACAAGAGCAAGTGTGAGATTTTGCACCTGGAATGGGGTAATCCTGGTTTGAGTTGATGGCAAGTTGAATATGAGTCAACAGTGTGCCCTGGCAGTGAAAAAGGGCCAAATGTGTCTTGAGGTGCATCAAGCACAGCATAGACATCTGGTCAAGGAAGGTGTTTGTCATGCTTTGCACTGGTGTGGCAAATATAAGTATCTGGAATTCATTTTTCAAGTATTTTCTAGTCTGACAGTCCACCTTTCTACACTATTACATGTAATATTACTATTACATTTTACCGTGTTATGGGAGGGCTACTTGAGTCCTTGCTGGAGATTGTGAATAGTCTTGCTTATTGGTTTAGCAGCAGCTCTTTATCAGTTACCATTTAAAAGCTCTTTTTACTTTAGCCACAGAGACACAATAATCAGACGTGTTCTTTTTGGCTTTTGTAGCAATGTTCTGGCCTACAATGCATAATGCATGAGTTTTTTTTGTTCAGTAGCTTTTTGTTACTGTAGTGCGGGTATTGTATCTTATGTTTGAAGCAGAAGATGATAAACTCTGGATGTTTGTGGCATTTGTCATAGAGGCCTTTTTCCTTATCACAGAATGCTCCAACATATGGAATAGCAATATTAACTGTCTTTAACCAGCTTCATAGAGTCATAGAATAATCTAGGTTGAAAAGACACTCAAGATCATCAAGTCCAACCATTTACCTAACACTGCCAAGCCCAGCACTAAACAATGTCCTTAAGCACCACATCTACGCTAGGGGTGGTGACTCAACTACTTCCTTGGGCAGCCTGTTCCAGTGAAGAAGTTTTCCTTTATGTCTGCTCTAAGCCTCCTCTGGCACCAGCTTGAGGCCATTTCCTCCTGTCCTGTCACCTGACAGAAGAGACTGACACCTGCATCGCTACAGCCTCCTTTCAGGTAGCTGTAGAGGGTGATAAGGTGTCTCCTGAGCCTACTTTTTTCCAGGATAAACAACCCCAGTTTCCTCGGCTGGTCCCCGTAAGACTTGTGCTCTAGACTCTTCACCAGCTTTGTTGCCCTTCTGTGGACCCATATCAGCATGTCAGTGTTTTTCTTGTATTGAGGTGCCCAAAACTGAACACATTATTTGAGGTGTGGCTTCACTAGTTCCAAGAACAGAGGGACAATCGCTTCACTGATTTTGCTGTGACCACTGTTGGCCAGGATGCCATTGGCCTTCTTGGCCAGCCGGGCACACTGCTGGCTCATGTTCTGCTGGCTGTTGACCAACACCTTCATATCTTTTTTACACTGGGCACTCTCCAGCCACTCCTCCCCGGGCCTGTAGCGTTGCCTGGGGTTGTTGTGACCCAAGTGCAGGACCTGGCACTTGGCCTTGGGTTGTCTTCATCCTACACTGCTGAATAATCTTTCTTGAGAAGAAAAGCTTAAATCGCCAGGCGTTTCTGAAAAAGGAGATCTCTCTGATATGTCAGTATTCTGTCAAGAGCTGGTACATGAAGTGAAAAGATAATTTTGAAATGCTGGAATCAGCTGATGTTGCCGAGATATGCTACAGTATCACACACATAGGCAGAATTTACTCACACATGATGTTTACAGTGTATTGCATTTGCATATTTCAAAAAATGGGTAGAAAAGATGCAGATAATCTGGACTAAATTTGCCAGGTTAGTGGCAACTAGTTGATTCTTGATTGGTTTTGTATGGAAAACTTCTCACTGTGTTTTTGTTCTGGATTTCAGTCTTACTAGGAAGAAGTGGTTCTCTGTCTTACAAGATCACAGAACAGGAAAGTCTTTCATGTTGCAAACTCCACACAAAGAAATAATTGTAGTTTACACCTAAGTGTATTTAAGAATGAAATAACATAGTAGTGCTTTACTGATCTTCAGTAAAGTTCAGTTCATAACTTCAATCTAGGCAGTAGTTTCTTCCTTGGTATGAAAGCTGCTGTTTAGTGTTGTGTATGATAGAGAGGTGTGGAGGAAGTCGGAGAGGATGACAAATAGGAGTAAGGAGGAGAGGATTTTAAAAAGTAAAAAAGAAAACGACTGAACAACTACTGAGTACTGAAAGCTTCTTGTAACCTGTATTCTTATTGTGACCAAGTAGATGAATTCTACTGATCTACAGAAATTCAACATGTGTTCATGGCAGGCAGCACGGTGCAAAACAAAATAAGCAGAGCACTGCACCACAGGATATAGTTAACTTCTTTTTCCTAAAGTTTGTAAATATTGCAGGTGGCATATCAGATTTAGTTTGTCAGTAATGCTTCCTTTAAGACAAATAGATTGTTTCTTACAGAGTTAATGAAAAGCTATTACTAGAATAGGAAACTTCTTCCATGTAATTGTCTCTTGTTTTCTCAGCCTCCTCCAGGAAATGTGAAGATGCCTAATGTGCCCAGTACCCAGCCAGCAATAATGAAACCAACAGAAGAACCACCTGCTTACACACAAATCTCAAAGGTTTGTCTGTAACTTTCAGGCATTAGATATGTTTTAATTATAATTACTTCAGTACACTTCTGGAATAATATCTTCTATAAACCATGCTTTGCTAATTTTTGAAAATTAATACTGCCTTTAAATAATTGGTTAATGTATGAATTCCTGCAATATCAGGTCATCCATAACTGTAGATGCTTAATTACAGAAAACAGATTTGGAATATTTATTTTGTGGTTGTATTTTTTATCAGTATCTAACAATGCTTGGGTTTTTTTTGTTCAGGAGCATGCGTTGGCCCAGGCAGAATTGCTCAAGCGTCAAGAAGAATTGGAGAGAAAAGCTGCAGAACTAGATCGCAGAGAAAGGGAAATGCAGAGTCTCAATCAGCAGGGGGGTATGCATGAATAAAATACTTATTTGAATTGCAGAGATTTCACTTTTTCTTAAACTGTTTTAGTTTTACAGTGACATGGAGAAACAGATCAAAGAAGGGGTACTATCGTCTCTTCAGGAAAAGAAAGCTTGTCTCTCTTGAGACAGTGCATACAGTGAATAAAAACTGTCCTGTCCTGCACAGATTTTCACTGTAAAAGTCTTAGATGTAGGCTCTGTTACATGCTACTCTCTGCTATCAGCTATATTTATTCTTGGTTAATATCTAAGTAATGCTATTGAATAGAAATGGAGCATTTTGAGAAGAAATAAAAGTAACTTAAGTAATATCTCTTTGATTTCTTTCAGTATTTATAGCTGTAGGAGAGCATCACAGTATTTTCTTATCTTTTGCTATGTTACAGACAATATTCTATGCAAATAGCAGAAAGAGCTATTATTAATGTATAACTATTAATATATAATTATCATGTGTTAATTTTTCACAAGACACTTTGGACACTATAGTCAAGATCTCTATTTCATTTTGCCACAAACTGTAAGTGTGCTGTGCAAACCCATCAGTTTTTGTACAGCGGTTTCATAAGTGAGAAGATTTACATCTGTTAACTGAATATACTTTGCTAGATTTAGATCTATGGGAATATTCCTTTTCAAAATGAAGAACTTCAGACTGAAGTTACAAAACAACATAAACCACTTGGGATTAAGAAATCCCAAAGTAGTTTTTAATATGGATGGGAGCATTACTTGATTACTTTCTGTACGCTCCCTCTGCCAATCCCCTGCTCTGAAAAGCTTGGTAAAAACTTCAGTAGAAGAGGCAGAAAACTTAACATATAACTCAGTGCTTTGGACCTGTTTGGACAGAGCTGATGGCTTTGTCTTGTCTGAGTGTGGAAACAAATAAGAAATTAAGCACGCATGTAAGCTATGCAAGTTTTCTGTTCTTACCAGATGAACTGCTAGTAAAGGTTGAAGTTAGAAATTGCAAGCAAAACCTTGTCAGAATTTCAAATAAAGATGCCTTTAGGTTAGTTTCTAGTTTAGTCCTACTTTTGGAACATGTTGATTAATGTATCTCTTGTATTGAGAATTTGAATTTTTTTGGAAAGTTTGCTACAGCTGTTATCTCAGTTGAATCTCTGAGTCTGTGCTTGGTACGACCTATGTTCTGCAGCATCTGCACTGTAGCCTGTGATAGATCAGCTGCAGGAGAGCCATGTGTCTGACACTGTGTCCTTTGTGGTGTCCTCACTCTACCACACAACTGTATCAAAATACAGTGATGCTGGATGACTTTTAAGCAGTGAGGCTTGTGGACTTTTAGGTAAAGCTTCAACAATAGACTATATTGGGAACTAGTTCAAAGTGTTAGAGACAACCTGGTGTTAAAATTATCAGGATTCTCAATCTGGAGTCTTTTTGTACAACAAAGTGTGAGTATGGTAAAACTTCAGGGAAATGTGTATTTAAAAGTTAGGGAACTCTGAGAAATTCTTCTGCCCGTATCCACTTACTATGTGAAGAATTCTCATATCTTATTGCTTTATATGAACTTACAGATGCCTGCTTAGTCTTATGTAGATAGAATATTGTACTTGATTGGTGTGCACTTGATTGTATTTTATTTCTGTCTTATTTTCAGTATTGTGTGAGGATTGCTTACAAAGCTCTTGGTAGAGAGCCCAGGTGGGCTCTATTGTGGTAGGTCAGGTGCCCAATTTATCCATATGTTTGTGAAACTCATGCATAAAACCATGTGACCAATGTGTATCTCTTTCTAGTATACAGAGATTAAAATTGTATTATAAAGCTCTTTTCTTTCCCCCCCTGTTTTGCAGGTAGAAAAAATAACTGGCCACCTCTTCCTGAGAATTTTCCAGTAGGTCCTTGTTTTTACCAGGACTTTTCTGTAGACATACCTGTAGAATTCCAGAAGACAGTAAAGATTATGTACTATTTGTGGATGTGTAAGTATTTTTTTTTAAAAAGAAGAAACAAAGTGCCTGTTGAAACTTAATGATCCATACGTGCTACTTTGGCTTTTGCAACATCTGTAATGAGAAATTATTTTCAATACAGAAGTCCAATATTGAAGTGAAATCTTTTTGTTAGCTTCAATTTTAAAAGTGCCAAACTATTTCAGAAAAACTTACACAGGAAAAGAGTTTATCCTAAGGCTGTTTCTAGTTAGTAAATTGCAGTTTTCTGGTTTAAGTATCTCTGTTATTGTAAAATGAGCTTTGACCATTTATTAACTTAGAAATAATTTAACTGGTTTTACAGTCAGCCTATATATTAAAAATTATAATTCCCAATCTGTGTTAGTAGACTTGTGAGTTTAAGAAGTGTAATACCCATTTACCTTAATACCTGTAGTTTTATATAGTTCCTAGTGTGTAGTGGAGAATTAATATCATTTTAGTCTATTAGTCTATATAATTAATATCATTTTAGTCTATTATGCTAAACAAGTAGCGTAAAAGAAATTAGCTGAAGAATCAGTCCGTGTTAAGACTGTCCTTTGTACATCGGGAATGTTCTGCACCATCTTTGTGGGGTTAATTTTGCACTTGTTCAGGTGCTGTGTTTTGACTTGAGAAATGCTGGATGTACCAAATGTACAAATGCCACCACATTTGTTTCTTCTGCCTTGTCCAGTGTGATAAGAGCCTAATAACTGATCTGAGACTAAGGAAATTCCAAAGATTTAGGTGCTTTGATGCCTTTAATATACTTTTAGCATGCTAAAGGAATGTGAATTTCAGAACTTTTATGTATTTTTTTCAGGGCTTCAGATTTAGTTAGCAAATCTCCATATTTTTACCTGTTAATCTGGTAATCTTATTACTGTGATTGAACCACATAATTGAAACACATAAAATGGGCAGTCAGCACTGAACCAAGTGAATTCCACTTCATCATAATCCATAGCTTTCTATATTCATTGCTGTGTCATTAATCTTCAAATAAGCAACTAAATCCACCATAGAATGTGTGACTGTTCACTCATACATCTGACTTTTAAGATTTATATGAAATCTAAGATCAAGTAGTCCAAAATTTTAGCATAATTGCTAATTCTGGCCATTTGCAGGACTGAGTTCTGAAAGTGCTGTAAGTTTCAAACGCAAGGTGAAGTTTGGCAATGAGGATTGGCCTACTAGTATTGTTTTTTATTTTTCCTTTGATGGCAATAAATAAATGAAGCAGCAATGTTCTAGTATTCCAAAATACATAGGAGTTGTGCTTGTATGCTAACATGACAGATTTTCTTCTAAAAAGAGATTTTTAACTGCATCCTCTTGCTTTTTTCCATTTTTAGCTCTAGTACTCACTGACTTAGGGATTACTCTGGAAGGAAAAGGGTACAATAAAGGCAAAGAAAGAAGAAAAAAAAAAAAAAAAGAAAAAATCTATTCCACGCTAAAAATCCCAAAAGGCTGAGTACAGAACTCCAGGTCTTAGGGCTGGCTGTTGAATCAGTCCCTGATGTAGGATCGTATCTACATGTTTTGGCTCATTTTTCCGTTAGAGTGGCTAAGCTTCCTCAGTGGAGGCACTTATTACCATAGCAAACCAGCCTGGTTCTGCTTGCTGCTCTACCCTACGTTTTATTTCCTCTTCCAGAGCTTCCTAGGTTTTGTAAAGTGTAGGGGTTCTGTGAACATAATCACATTTGGATACGTCTAGTACTGTGTGCTCAGCACTTTGTAGAGTAGGTTAGTTTTCCTCTTCAGCAACTCTAGGAACAAACCTCTCTGTTTCAGTTTCCTGTGTGTTTCCATGGTTAGCAGCAATTTTTATATCTTTATTCTTGATATTTATGTATCTGAGGAAACTTAGCTGTTTCAGATCTATATGCTCTTTATCTCATGAGAAAACATGAGATTCTGTGAACTTATCCATCTGTTCTTTATTTGTATCAGAAGTTAGAGTTTCTGACTACTTGATGTGGTTTTATCTTTGCACATATTTTTTTTGTCTTTTTATGCTGGGAGACCTTTTCTTTATTTTTACTGACTGAGTGCTCCCATGGTTTTGTGAACTACAGCAATCAATTAGCAATGTGTTCTACCAGGTGCCAGTGGAGCTTTTCTGTTCTATCTTGGCTTTGTGACCATTGCTACTTAAGTGACTTGCTGATGGAATGCCAATTTCCCTGGCTTGTTAGCACCCAGCACTACTTTTCAGATCTTTCCATGCTGTTACTAGTGCAGTGTCCCATGTCTCTTGACCCATATCTAACACCTTTTTTTATTTTTTGTTAAAAGCCCGTGTTTTCCAGCTATATTCTCCACAGGCTGCTAGCATGTACAAATGATCAGTACTGATTTTCAAAGAACATTTCTTATTTGGAGTTACAAAACAAAGAGCTACTTAATCTTATGCAAAGTTCTTGTGGCATTTGTGTTTGTTACTTTATATAGGTTGTGAATGTTTCCATTTTCTATGATCAAGATTTTTAATGTTTTTCAAAGCCCAATGACTTAAGCTCTAGATTCTGGTAAAAAAATAATACCCTAAAATGCCAACTTTCATGGTATGTTTTTTTTCTTCGGGGCAGTTTAATCTTGTTTGTCCTTCTGTCTAAGGATATGATCAGTAGTGCATGTATCAGCCTGTGTTGATGCCAAGACACTTCATAAACTCTCTCCAAGCTGGTTCTAGTGTGTTGCTGTCTTTTATGATTATGTTTCCCAGTGTATTATTTAATTCTCCCGTTCTGTGTTTGATCTTTACTCTTCAGTTCACTGTTGTTACTGAGAACACATTTATCCATATTAGTAATCTCCTTTTGGATAAATAAGCACAGTTTACTCATCTCTTCTTTGTAGGTTATATTTTCTAGAGGTCTGATTGTTTGGTTAATGTCTTACAGATTTGCTGCTTGATCCACTCCATATTATCTCTTTTTTCAGTGTGTAGTATCAAGAATTTTACCATGTGGACTGTGTCCAGTATTTTAGCTGAAGTCCTAATGTACTGTGTAGAGAAAAAAAGTACCTTCACGTTTTTCATAGCACATGCTTGTGTTATGTGCTCATCTAAGCCTGTTCTACAAGATATCTTTTTCCTATGGAGAATGCTGCTGACTTTTTTTAAGGTGCATTTGAACATGTCTTACCTGTCCCCTGTCGAAAAAGAACAGAAGAAGGAACAAAAGCCTAAACTACTTTTGAAGTCTATCTGTGCTCCAAGATTGTGTGATGAAACTTCACCAGCCTTGTCCTCGCTTGTCACTCGCCTTGTGGATTCAAACCCATCCATTTTGTAGGCATCCCATTCCCCTTGAGGCCATCCATTACAGGGTGATAGTCCAGTTGATTCCTGTGAAGAAGTTCTTTTGTCGTGTGTCCTAATGAGGACTTTGATTTCCTGAGAATACCATCAATACTGAAATGAAACTTAATACAAAAATCTATTCTCACACAGCCCCAAATGAGACTGCAAAATAATCATCTCAATAATGTAGATGACAGATCGCTTCCGTGCAGCTTGTGGTCTTTATCCACAGTTCACTTTCAAGCAGCAACGGATGATGAAGTGCAGTTAATTAAGAGAGGGAATGTATATCTAAGTAGCATTCTTCTGTACAAGGAAGCACAGATGAAACTGAGTCTGAATGTTTCTTAAACAAATATAATTTCCCATTGCTTACTCTTATTCTGGCATGAATGCTCTTTTGTTCTTTTTTAAACATCAACTGCTTCCTGAGCTAAACTAGGAGAAGCCTTTCGTAGATCACACTGAGTACTGAAGTTATTGTCATACAGACATTCCATGTTGCAGACTTCTCCTAAAGCCATAGGTCATTTGAGCCCCCAGGTGGTTATTATCTTCCAGTAACTTGTATCATGGATTCATTTGAAGAGGCCATAGGTGGAAGGGACTTAAAAATGTTACCCTGAGCATAAAGCCACCTGTGTGTTCATAGATCAACAAAGTTTATCGAGGTCACTTAGTGAAGTTGTTGGCTCAAAGAACAAATGCCTTTCTGTTCCTTGCACCAGGCAGAGAGAAGGGCGAGTGAAGCAAAAGGAGAATGGTCACAGAAGTCCCTTGTCCTCAGCTGTAGCTTGCTAATACTTGATTTTAACAGCTGAAATTCTCTGTGGAAGTAGTGAAGTAGGTGCTTAGTTGCATTTTTTTGTTGTGCTGGTAAATATCAGTAGTGGGTGTGATGTTTCAAGCCTCTTCTGCACTGATGGTATTCTGCAAACGCTTGTCATGTTACCATAAATGCAATTACAAAAGAAGCAGTAATTTTGGAAAGTTCCAATTCCACCAGAATGTGGATATTTCTTGTAATATAAGGGGTCTCCCCATTTTCTGGTATTGACTAGAAAAAGAGAGAATACCCCTTAATAACTTTCTTATATTTACCAAAGGAAGGATAGAATTTGGATGTGTCCTTTGTTGTGCTGTATGAGGTACACACACACAAATTCTGTTACTACTTGCTTTGCTCACCTCTTGGAACACTCCTAAGACATGTAGATACATTAAATGATTTTTATTTGAAAATACAAAGTTTTCTGTTTCTGGTGACTCTTAGAGGAAACTATGATTTGTATGGGGGAAATGTTCTGAGTTTTGTCAGCCTTTCATGCAATGATGTGGGCATTTTGCATTAATTTTTTTTTCCCCACTAAGTTGGTTTAGGGCTTATTTATGTTAAGAGGGTAGCAAAGATTTTGAAGTCTTTTTTTCAGAGTCTTATCTTGCTGGGTCTTCTGTTAACCATGCCTTCAAGTAGAATAACTCAAATGTTTCTCTGAACTTAAACAAAAAAAACATTACAGCAAGGAGCAGGTTCTGGACTCTTAGTTACACTGTACTTTATCCTGGTCTGCAAGGACAGCAACTGTCCTCTGAGACAGCAAAATCACTCCTGAATCACTGGGTAGTGCTGAATAAAGACAGAAACTCGTGTTCATCTTTTAAGTTGGGCAGAAAAAAGTTTCTGTGCCAGGCTGTATGAAAGTAGTGGATGTAGTGTTTCTTAACACTGCTGTATCTTTTTTTCTGTTCTAAGAAGGAAATATACTTGAAATAAACTGTGAACTCGTAATGCCAATGCGTTTTCTGTAGTAGAAATTCAATAATTAACCGGTAGAAAGGTCTGCCAGTGAGAAAATGCTAGTATTGAGCCAAGAACAGAGCAGAAAAAAGGCAGTTATTTGAAGACAAATGTTATAAGAAATAATTGAAAATGCAATATGTGTTAATGCATGTACGACAGCTTCTTGCAGGTCTTATTTTACTGAGAAACATTCTTACTAAGTGTGGTTTTTTGCTTTATTACATGGAAGACAGTTTTCCACTGTAAATTTTTTTTCAGAAAATTTTGTTTTCAAACTGGTATGTGTACCGTGCTAAGATTATGATGTATTTTATGTAATTTATAAATTTTATCTCAAAAAATTTTTACCAGTCTGTTAAACATCTGTATCCAGTTAATACTGTAGAAAAACTATCAAATGTTGCAACTGTAGAAACCTCTTTTTTCATCATTTTAAGTTTGAAAATGTTTATTTTCATGACAGGAATTTTTCCTTCACCATGTGTCTGATAGTACTTGAATTTTCATGTTCGGTGCTTTAACTTGTGAATATAGAGCTTACCTGAAAGCTAGAAAACTGTATAAAAATCACCTTATTGCTGAAATTATTGAGAGGGTATTGATTTACTGTCACTGTACTGACGTTTTGTTTAAAAATGCTTAGCTTGGGTATTACTTTAACAGTTATAATAATTTATTGTATAAGCATAACTTAATTAAGACTGTTTTGCTTTTGCTTCTACAGTCCATACAGTGACACTGTTTCTTAATATCTTTGGATGCTTGGCCTGGTTTTACGTTGATGCTTCACGAGGGGTTGATTTTGGATTGAGTATTCTGTGGTTCTTGCTTTTTACTCCTTGCTCATTTGTCTGCTGGTACAGACCACTTTATGGAGCTTTCAGGTAACAACTTCAGCTTGACTTAGGATATTTAAAAACTTGTTGAAATGCATTAGGATACCAGAATTTGCTTGCTTATCAGTATGATAATCCTTTAATATGTTTTCATTATGTTTGCCAGCAATTCAGCAGTTGTATTTGAAACATAGATGGCAATAGTTAAGAATATCCTTTAAAGTATTTATAGCTCCTACCATTGACAAAATAGTTGCAGGAAATACTTGCCTTTGTATTGGGCTGGTAACAGTGTTAAATAAAATTCTCATTAAACCTCTGTCCCTTTACACCAAGAATTTGAACAGGTTAGTAGTTAAAAGATGTCTCAAATTTTTGGCTTCCTGAATGAACTTCATAAAACTCTCTAGAGCTAAAAATCTTACATTAAGTGACCTACAGTGTCTATAATTGAAGAATACATTCTTAAGAATGACTAGAACAGGTACATAATAATGAAAGTCCATTATTTTTCCTGGCTTTTAGCAATCTTTGCAGACTTCACAAGCATGAGGTGTGGTTGCTTTGTGTTTAAGAATAGAATGGTGGGCTTGCATTCAAAACGGAACTTTTTTTTTTTTTGTGAAATTCAGTGTGTAGAGATTCTAAATCCTGTACTCTTACAGTATTTCGTGGGAATATTTTTTCAGTTTTAAGGGACTGAGGATCTTCTCGGCTAAAATGCACTAATTCTTGTAGAGAAAGTTTGATGGCCATAAATAGAAGTTAGCGTATCCTTTAGACTAAATGAGGTGTTCCTTTTTGCTAAACAACGAGGCATTGCTGTACCCACACATCTTTGAGGAATCACACGGTTGGACTTGCATTTGCTCTCCAGTAGATCCGTCGCTTTGCTTAGTGAGCACTGATGGTTTGGAAAACTATTACTTGCATATTCAACTTTTGGTGAGTTGCTCAGCTGAAAATTAAATAGTCATTGAACTGAATTGGTTGAATAAATAGAAAAGAAGAAACTCTGGTCTGCAGGAAGAGCTGTTAATGGCAAAATATGATTCTGTGACTTAACTGAGTGGTTTCTGCTTCCTTTAGAGCTCTGGTAGCAAGAATATCATATGATCGTTAGCTTTAATAGTAATAAGTTGAGGTCCTTCTTGAGACTTTGTCTGCACATCTATATTTTTAAATTTTGGGGTTTTTTTCCTTTCAGTCTCTGTCAGGGTGGCATTTCAGTAATTTAAACAGTAAACCTATTTTCTGTATTTTGCTTTTAAGCAATAGCTGCTTCAGTATTCTAGTCTGCATTATGTCTTAGGAATACCAGATCAGATGTTTTTTTCTTTTACAAGTAAAATATTTTCTTCCCATCCTGCCAGCACTGTGAACATCAGTCTGAAAGTGGAGCAGAATTCTGTTCTTCATGAATTGTAGCAAAACTTCTATGTTTAGTCAAAGAGGCCCTGCTGTGTGCTGAACAGAAAACTAAGGAATCTTGCTGCTATTCTCACGTCTGTTACAGGTGCAGGTGGAAAAAGTACTGTTGTAAAGAATGAGGAGCAGCTCTTGTAAATAAACACTCTTACCAAACCACAGAATTACTAATACTTCAGGTTGCTGTCAGTAAATGAAAGCACTCTTCCTGTAGTTAGTGCAGAGGAAATGTTTAGATTGGTACTACAGTATTTGTGAAAAGGAATTAATTTACTGACTGCTTTAATCATTTTTCCCCTCCCTTCTTCAGGAGCGACAGTTCATTCAGGTTCTTCGTGTTCTTCTTTGTATATATCTGTCAGTTTGCTGTACATGTGCTTCAAGCTGCAGGATTTCAAAGATGGGGAAACTGGTGAGTATTCTGTTTTCTGTAGCACTGTGCTGCCAGTAAGACTAACACTCTCACTTCATATAGCAACTGCAGTAAAGTAAATAATTCAAAAAAGCATTTTTTTGAGTGCTCTTGACTAGGAAAAGTGGGTGAAACATCCCAAGAGTGTGAGATACTTCTCTTATTAGGCTGGTCAACATTTCACCATGCAATGTAAACTTCTTTAAATTATTCTTTTATACATTACCTCCTCTAATTTGGTGGTGTGTTACTTGCTCTATATTTAATATAAAGATAAAAGCAAAAGTTAGAGAAAATAAAAGTAATTTGGGCAGTAATAATATACTGTTCATATTACTTTATCATAAGTTATTTCCAAGTCCAAACTTCCTCCAATCTAGAAACTAGGTCATAGCCTCAGGTGCCACATCTGCTCGTTTTTTGAACCCCTCCAAGGATGATGACTTCACTACCTCCCTGGGCAGCCCATTCCAGTGTCTCACCACTCTCTCAGTGGAGAAATTCTTCCTAGTATCTAATCGAAATGTTCCCTGGCACAACTTGAGGCCATTTCTCCTCATCCTATCATCAGTAATTTGGGAGAAGAGACCAACACCAGCCTCACCACAACCTCCTTTTAGGTAGCTGTGGAGAGCAATAAGGTCTCCTCTCAGAATTCTCCAGACTAAACAACCCCAGTTCCCTCAGACACTCCTCATAAGGCATGTTCTCCAGCCCTCTCACCAGCCTCGTAGCCCTTCCCCGGACCCACTCCAGCACCTCAGTGCCCTTCTTATCCTGTGGTGCCCAAAACTGGACACAGTGCTCAAGGTGTGGTCTCACCAGTGCCGAGTCCAGGGGCATGATCACCTCCCTACCCCTGCTGGTCACACTGTTTCTGATCCAGGCCAGGATGCCATTGGCCTTCTTGGCCACCTGGGCTCACTGCTGGCTCATGTCCAGTTGGCTGTCCACCAACACCCCAAGGTCCTTTTCCTCCAGTCAGTTTTGCAGCCACTCCTCCCCAAGCTTGGAGCGCTGCCTGGGGTTGTTGTGACCCAAGAGCAGGACCTGGCACTTGGCCTTGTTAAACCTCATCCAACTGACCTCAGCCCATTGCCCCAGCCTGTCCAGATCCCTCTGCAGAGCCTTTCTACCCTCCAGCAGATCGACACTCCCACTTAATGTCGTGTCATCTGCAAATTTACTGAGGGTGCACCCAATCACCTCATGCAGGTCATTGATAAAGATGTTAAATAAGACCAGTCAAGGTCTAATATTTAGATTTTACAGGGAAAAGCTATAGGGTATCAGTCACTGTCCTTGTAAAAAAAAAAAACCAGCACACCTGATACAACTAAAAGCATGGCTGTAGTAGCCACCTGGTAGCATGGACAGCTATGACTGGCAGTACAGGAGCTGGCTAGTGACACTTTTCTCTGTATCAGTGGTTTTTGCTGCTAACCTCCAAATGCAGACAAGGCAAAAGTATGCAAGACAAAACAGCATTGCTTCAGAACTGTACTGTAAAGAGAGATCCCGTTCCAGTAGTTTTGCTCTTGAATCTGCCATTTTGCTTTTTTATACATATCTGGATTGATATTAACAAAACAAGAGTATTTTAGGGTTCCAACTCTCCACGTATGTGCAGTGTGCTTTTAAGGATACTTGGGGGAGGGCTACAAAAAGTAGCCATATAATCAGAAAATGCTAATTACAGTGTGAATTTTGGAAGTTTGTGGTAGAGCCCACTTGGACATAGGGGATATCAAGGCAACTTGAAAAAGGTAGAGAAAGTTTTAAGGCTGTCTAGTGTCCAGTTTTACAGTTGTTGTTTTTTTTTCTGTGAAAGAATCTTTTCCATCTTAATATTTTATTTTTCTTAAGACAACCTGTTTTTTGTGGTTTCAAGTTTGATACTGTATTTTTCTGTTGGTATTTCAGTTTTGAAGAATGAGGAGGTTTTTGAAGTAGATACTGCTACAGTAGTCTTCTCTGTTCGTTAATCTCATGCTATCTATCATATTAACCTCAATGGAGAAAGCATCACTGTGTGGATACAATTAAATGAGTCTTTCCACAGGAAAGCTGGGGAGGGGTGAGGGGTGAGAATGCTTGTGTGGCATGGTTTTGTTTCATATTTTAAGGAAGTTAGAAGCTATCTTTTTAGGGACATTTTCTCTTCCACAAAATCATGTAGCCTTAAACGAGCCTGAAATGACAGGGTGACAAAAAATACACCAGAAGCTGATGAATAGCTCTCTAATTTCTTCACAATCCTGCTCAAGGATAATCATGTTTACTAAAATTTTTCACATAGTTCCACTGCATGCAATGGAAACTAAGCTCTAGAAGCTTATTATAGAACCAAAATATGCTTATATAAAATTCCCATTACTTTTTCTTCAAAAATACTCAAGAGTTGATCAGAACTAGGAGGTTGTAAAGTTTCTGTTGATGTGGATACCTGGGGCTGAATGGTTCATGTGCTGTGCTAGTAAAGTTTGTTCTTTCTTTTTCCTTCAGTGGGTGGATTTCATCTCTTACCGGTCTTAATAAGAGTATCCCTGTTGGCATTATGATGATAATCATAGCTGCACTTTTCACAGCATCTGCTGTTATCTCATTAGTTATGTTCAAAAAGGTAAGTTACATGTTATTCTCCTCTGCTATTTTCGATATTTGATCTGGTTTTTGCTTTCCTGCTTGAGATGGGTGCTCTCTCCCAAAGTAATGGGGATTAAGTTATATTCTAAAGGGTGTGCCTTGCCTACTAACAACTGTACTCTTTTGCTTATGCATTTGTGGAGTTAAGAAAAGCTGGTTGTACAGTGCATGAATTTTCTGCAGACTAAAGCTGAGAAGGATAGCTCTGAGTAAGAGCAGTTGGCAGGTAAGCCCACCCTGAGAGGGTGGGTGAATGCACTGGACACTGTGGTTGTACCTGTGGTGCCAGCCTGCCATTTTTAAATCTGCAGTGGCAATTCATCAGGCTGAGTTGAGTGCAGTTTACCTGATTGCCAAGTTTCGGTTCGTACCAAAATAATTTCCATCAAAATCAGTAGAAGAGGGAGATGCCTGGCACCTCAAAAAGGGGCATTATTTCTCTGCTTCTGTTATTTAACGTTGTGTTGTCAATTAATGATCGCATGGCATGCAAGCTCAAAGAAAGGTCCTTTTTTCCCTTGCTTCCTTTTTTGTGAATTCCCATATAGAAGACCTAAGTTTAGATACTTGTGTGCTTGTGAGTTTTAGATGTTGTTTAGATAAAATGTAACTGGTAATTCTGCTGACCATCTGTGGGAATCCTAATAATTCACCTTCAGCTACAGTTATGCTTAGAGATTTTCACATACCCAAACTCTTCCGGCCTATTTACAGTAAGCTAGAAATCTTAACCATTTCCTGAAGATGTTCCTTCTCCTTACTTGTTTTCTGCATAAATACTCAGGTGTAGGAGAAAGAAACAAGCAAGAAGGATGTATGTGGTGGAGCAAGTTGTTTTTTTTTTCACTCTTCCTGCCATAAGCATCTGGATTCTTTACAAAAAAACTAGATGCTCAGATGTGACCTGGTGTATCTTTATGGATTAGAAATAATCACATTGTAACAAAGAAAAGATGTACAATGTTATTTTCTTGCTACACTTTAATGCAAATATCTTTGCAATATTACCTGGCAACTTTATTGTAACTTGATTGAATATGAGGCAGAAGTAGCATTTTAATTTTAATATACAGGTAGTAGGAAGTTACTCAGGATTTTTTGTTTTGTTGTAGCAATTACACACAATAATGTTTAAAGTGTTTTTAAGTCATATTGTTTAATACCTCTGCTTATGTGGCGCTATTGGTCATCAGACTAGCTTTACAGATAAAGGTCTGTATTACTAGGATATTTTATAATGTTAATACTCAGTTGTAGCTTAGCTTGTTCTTGTAACTGTGTATCAGGAAAATGCTTCTAGAAATTGATGTTGAAAAAATTCACCAAAATGCTATTGACGCAGTAGATTCTAAACTACTTTCTTGGGTTTGTCTCTTTTTTTTTTTTTTTTTTTTTTTAACGTGCAGAGTTAGTGACTCTTTCAATGAGTACAGCAAGTTGTATACAAATTGAGACAGAAGATATTTTTGCAAGCTGTCAGCCCTGTGCTCTGTGCTAGGGGTGCAGCCTGTTTCTGTATTTAAATGTGTTATTTGAGACAGTAGATACCACACACATTTTGATAAAAACCCGTGAGACCCCTCTGAACTTGCAAAAAGTAAGAGGTATTCCTGCACTCAAACTGTGTGAGCACTGGGCAAGCAAAAGTTGTACCATGTGTGGAAAAAAAGTCTGTTTGCTCATTTCTGGGTCCTTCCAAACATGTGAGGAAACCCCAGTGCACAGCTCTGCCTCGCCTCTGAGATGTCACTGTTAGTCTGCCAAGAATGGAAAGCTCAGCACTGTTTTTTTGCTGCTTTTCCACCCCTTTAGGTGCACGGTCTCTACCGCACGACTGGCGCGAGTTTTGAGAAAGCACAGCAGGAGTTTGCCACAGGAGTGATGTCCAACAAAACTGTCCAGACTGCTGCAGCCAACGCCGCATCGACAGCAGCCACCAGCGCGGCCCAAAACGCCTTCAAGGGCAACCGGATGTAGGGAAGCGCGAGGTCATCGCAACTCTCTGCAGTTCTGCTTCGTTCTCCAGTCACTTACTATATTCCCTGAAAGCCTAGATCAGAATTCACACAGCATGTTTGTCTCTTCCACAGCTGTGCATGGGTAAAATGGGAAATGGTTTATTTTATTTTAAATCTATTTATTTTAAGAAGGTAACCATTCTTTGCCCTTCTTTAAGGTGTTGCATTCTAGAACATAAAACCTTCCGTATTTTATGGAGGATAAATAATTTCAGTAATTGGTCTGAGAATGGTGTATAATGATCAAATAAATGTATTAAGCGTTTGGAAGGTCTTTTTAATGGTTCATTCCAGTATTTCTTTTAACATCAGAAAAGCACTTTGAATCCATTATTTTTCTTCATAACAACTGTTTTCCCCATTTCTACTATAAGAAGTGGGGTAGGCTGAAAGATGTAGAAAGTTAGGTTTAGCTACTGCTTCTGCAATTTCAGCAACTGCTGGGGATCAAATACAAGTAAGGTAGATATAAATTCTTTTCTTGGATGTTTTTTTAGGATAAGTCTTTTGATATAAACCTGTAAGTCTGCATGAATACTGTTGAGTTACCTGATCTTGTTTAAATAGTGTTTTAGTCCGGAATTTACCTGCGCCACTTTATAATAATAGCATTTGTTTGTATCTATTTTCATGGAGTATTCTCTACCTGTGAGAAACGACTATGGTGCATAACATTCTCTGTAACAGAATGTGTAATGCAGTGTACAGTTTAAGGAAGTTAACTGATGTTTCAATCACAGAGCTATGTGGTTATATATTTGCTATATTTAATTTCAGCGGTCATGTCTTGGGGTAATAATTTTGCTGAAAAAGAAACTGACATTGACTTCTAGAACACTAGTTTCTTGCCCCCCTCCCTTCTTCTATGTGCAGTGCTATTTTTGTTGTATTTGGGATTTTTGGGGGGTTTTGGTTTTTTCAAAGTGTAGACTTGTGTTCAACAGTGGTACTAGATCTCTAGCTTAATCAGTCACTCTGTTTACTGCTTGTCCAAAAACCTAAATATACAGTATTTCATTTTCTAACAGGGATGTTGTCCAAAACCAAGCTTCTAATACACTGGCATTTAACAGACACTTGAATTCATTTTAATGTTAACTCAGCCATCTCTGTGGGTTTAAGCTGGGTAACAAAGGCTTTTCAATTATTTTGAGTTGGAAAAGTGAGAAATCTTCATCTTTGACAAAGTTAAATTTTTAACTCATTGAACTGGAGGCCTAAGAGGTTAAATTGATGCTGTGGAACTGAACAATCCATAATGGTACATGCCATTGTAATATTCTAGAATATAATGTGGTCTTAGTGCAACATCCTATTTCTCTCCTTTGAAGAATAATTTGTATTCTTGGCTTGTCTCACGAGTCTTACGCACAATACCTGGGCTGTTTTTTCAAACTGTCTTAGAAAACAAGAACAAGAAGGACCACAACCAGTGTAAGTATGCACTTTGGCTGAAATTAATTCAGCTGTTATAGATGAATCACCTTTAGTAAGACAGCATAAAATTCTGAGGCCCCTCCACGTTCTGACTGTCAGCCAACTTCCATACATTCTTTTTCACTACACTGTATTCGTAATAACGGAAGAGCATTACAAAACATAAACCCCCTAGTTTAATTCATGGATCAGTATCAGTGTACTGTTAGCACAAAGTCCCTATTAGTCTCCTTTTGTTGCTAATTTCTCTAAATCTAACTTGAATTTGGGTAAGTGTCGTAGTTTCATGCCTCTCCTGCTGCCCGCCTGCCCGACACGGAATGGGATCACCCTCAACAGGCAGACACG